CCCTCGTGTAGCTTTGCGTGAAGTTCAAAACAAATAAACAAACTATTGTTTTGGACACTAAATGTGAATGAGAACTGACAAGAATACCAACTGTTCGTTAATATAAAAAATACGAAGAGCTTCTGTATGTAAGGATTTGTACACTCAACTGGTGCGCCAAGTTAAATCTGCAAATTACGTCACTGCCTCAACCAGCCAATACTAGAACAGCTTGTGAATAAAATGATGCACGAGTTTCGCTGATATACGTCTGTACGGCTACCCTCGCTGGCTTTAGAACTGTCCACAGCCGCTAAGCAGATGAAATACCGGCTTTTTAGAGAAGCGTGGCATATATATGTATAAATATAAGTAGTTACTTGGAGCAGTAGATTGCAATTAGAACAGTGAATCAAAGCATATTCGACTAAAAATGAAAAAACAAACAAAAAAGAATGATCTGAGAAAGAAAAAATTCGAGTAATTAAAGTGAATAATGAAAAAACAAAATTTTCAAAGATAGAAATTAATAAATGTTTTCAAGGAAGTAGTTAGTCTTGGTCAGCATGACAAGACTTGCACCACGAAGCCGCCATTGGAACAAAAAAAATTAATTGTACTCATAGCCTTTGTTTTCTATTTTCTACGCAGAAATACGTGAAAAGTGTGTTTTCAGTGAGCAAAAAGGACCAATATACAAACAATGTCCCGTAATTTTCCCTATTGCAAGTTCTGGGGCATAGATTGGTAATGTGGTAGAGCTCTGGATTTCAGAGTTTGTGAATTTAAGTTGTAGGTGCGTTATAAGAATAACAATCAATCCACTAGCGCGGATGGTAGGTGATCGGGAGCCCCTGAATCGGTGCTTTCCCTCTGGTTAGTAGTCCAAAATCAGAGACGGCAGCTATGGCTATAAATACAAAATACAAATTTCACTTTCTGCAGATTCCGTCACCTTAATGTTATACAGGATCATATATGCGCTCCTGTCTTGCAATTCAGTTTAATACTGTATATATTCGATGTTTAAAAAACAACAACAGGAGTTGACAGGATAACATTTTTTAAATTTTGATTTTAAGAGCACTGACTGGTATCAGGTTACGTCGAGCTCAGACCAGTTGATGAACTTTCGACCCAGTTTCTACAACCTTCATACAACCAACGAATTTGAGTAACTCTTCCAAAAACGTTACACTTTATAAAGTTAATTTAATAAAGTCAGATCAATCGTATTGCAAAAATATTAGGATACAAGATGCACTGAAAATAACACCAGAGTAATACGTATATGTTTAAATTACTGGTGGCACGAACCATAACCAACGTAGATCAAATCATGCATTGAGGGTAATGCACACATATTTAACCCATTGAAAATGATATTGAAGTTAAAGTGTTAACAGCACTTGTATTAAAAAAAATCTTTACTCTCCACATTATAATAAAGTACTACTAGCCCTGGTAGTGTTGTAAGTCCGCAGGGGGGGGGGGGGCTGATGATGGCACAATGGCGAAACATCGGCTGAAATAAAGTTATATTGTTATTATCATTATCTGGATAGTAAGTGTCGTTTTGATTTTTTCTAACCTTATTACCAAAGTGTTAACAGCATGCAATTTTTTATTCAATAACATAGCATAATTGCATTGGAAAAACAAGTAGCTCGTTGTTTAAAATTCTGTTGAGGTTTTTCATAGATGGAAATAAAATCAATGGAAAAAATACACCAAAAATGTTCTTATTTTGGGAACACACACACACACACAATGGAAGCATTGTTTGAATAACTTTGACAGTCTCGATAGGCACAAACCGAAACCAAAACTCTTGACGTACTGCTCGTCTCTCTGTCAATTCCTTGAACATGGATAATTAATGAAGTAACTTTTTTTCACACATTTTATGAAGGATAGTGAGGATAAGGGAATTACCTATTCCTGCAGTGCTAGCTCTCAAGTAGATTACAGATCCGTCGTTCGTGATCCATTCGGATCCACCGTTCATGATCCACTATCCCCAAAACAACAAAAAAAAAAACAAAATCGCGCTCCGCACTTTGGGACCCTGAATACGTTATAAAAGTAACAGTCAAATCCTACTCTAAGGTCAGACAAGAGTTGGCGATGGGTGCTGTTGACTAGTTGCCTCTCCTTTATTCTATCCGTTTAAAGTTAGCGACGGTTAGCGCATTTAACAGTCGCAAGTTCGCAAATATTCGAAAACAAACAAACTACGTGGTACATTGTGAGGGAGGAGTCTGCATCATAGAAGTGATTAAAACAAACAAACTACGTGGTACATGGTGAAGGAGGAGCCTGCGTCATAAAAGTGACTAAAACAAACAAACTACGTGGTACATGGTGAGGGAAGAGCCTGAATCATCTGTTTGGACAGAAGTGACTAAAACAAACGAACTACGTGGTACGTGGTGGTAGTGAAGAGGAGCCTGCGTCATAAAAGTGATTAAAACAAACAAACTACGTGGTACATGGAGAGGGAGGAGCCTGCGTCATAGAAGAGACTAAAACAAACAAACTACGTGGTACATGGTGGTAGTGGAGAGGAGCCTGCATCATAGAAATGACTAAAATAAAGAAATTACGTGGTACATGATTGGGGGAAGAGCTGTTTGGACAGAAGCGACTAAAATATATTTAAACGAGACGCAAACTGGTCATGTAATGTATAACGAATTAAATGTTTTTATGTAAAACCTTCCAGCTGTCGTGGTTCAATGACCAGATAATGCGTCACACTAAGCCAAAAACTCGTTGTGAAATATCTGAAAATTGTTTTAAAAAGCTGTACAAAAATTATTACTATTTGATTTTAACCGTTGGAAGTCCAATCAAAATTATGATAAGCAGCATAATGCTGATAATTTATACATACATAAAACTCAGCTTAATCTCATTTTCATTGGTCTCTTATTGCAAATATATATTTACAGATATATATATTGCGTTCATTATAATTTTAAAATGTACTTACAGGCAGACTTTGGAGACAATTTATCTCGCTGGGCTGCACAAACTGCCAGCAGACGGTAACCAAGGTCGAGGTCAAAGCCTCGCTGAGCAGCGTTTTGACTAACAACCTGTGGGTAGAAAAAAACCTTGTCCAATAAGAGCACATTTCGGTGACATCATGCACAATTCACTCACTCATAGCAATGCGACGCGACTGCTCTCTTAAAATTCCGTCTTGCCACAGTTTATGTATACACAATCATACCCATAACCTTACAACACGATTACTCTATAAAGATTCTTCACACATGAACTTCTATCACCCGTAACTTTGTTCTACAGGAGTCACACTACTGAAGTTCACCTTCCGCTCCCCTTACACGTTAGAGTCCATGTCACGCAAGACTACAGCAGTAAATAATATCTATCATAGGTGGCCATGAACGTGAACGAAATTAATATTTGAATTCCGAACAATACACCAACCACATTACTCATTTCACGAGATATGTTATCCGTATTCCCCCTCTTCGTACATTCCTTTTTTCTTTTCTTTTTTTTAGTTCTACGTGCATCTTTAACGTAAACAGTAGTGGTTAATAGAAACAGTGAAATATTAGTTCAACATCAATTTCACGCGCCGTACCACAGGGCTAGTTGCTAGGTGATGAAAGCATGTCGGTTTCATATCTCAGCTGAATACAGTTTGATGTGATTTTTTTTTCTTCATATTCATCAGAAATCAATGAAGAAAGGAAAGCATGCAGTAGGCCTTTTGCACAAAAATTATTGACAAAGACCGCCCACATTATTTCAAATTCACTAATTCTTAACTTAATAAAAAAAAAAAGCAACTCCACACCAATTTTAAAACGTATTTTTGAGTTTATCCTCATGAGAATGGTAACTTAAACAGAAAAGTTGAACTTCTAAAATTCTGCTGTGTAATGAGATGAGACAACCACAAATAAAATTAGAAGGTTCGATAAAACCAAATTAGTAGACTAATAAATTAACCATTAAAATGTAGCTTGAATATAAAAATTCCGATTCAACTACAACTGTAGGATTTTGACTAGAACACGTGTAGTCAGACTTGACGTGAACTTTGGTTTGACTTAATTTATTTAGCGGAGAACCAAATGTTTTTCACTCCGTCACCTGTCATACACTACTTAGTCACTATCGTGTCTCCACACATACGTTTTTATGGAAAAGTCCGTTTATTAGCACATATAAAATACATTGACTCTGTGATATGTTAGGTGGTCGCTTGTGCCATATAAACGCAAAGATATTGTCATATCACGATTTGTCTGGAAAACAATGGGTAGTAAGACGGATTTTTCAAAAGGGTATAAAGTGGGTGTCCGAACTGCAGGAACATCACTATCAAGACTTTGACTGAGTGTTCAAAGACACCCGTCATCAGAGTTTATGAAACCTTGCAATCCAAAGTGAAGCATTTGAGGCATTTTATCGAAATTATCGGTATTACAAATGCTTGTAACAAAGAAAATGGAATTCCCTATGTATACCATACAAACATGTAAGTTGCAGCAAGGATATGCATATTAACCAGCGTATAATAGAAGCTTCATAAAGACGGTTGTTCCAAATAATGAATTGTCATGTGACAAGCCGAATGTGACACAGTGAAGAATTGCGACATCAATTGTTTATATATAAACAACCGCTATTGTAGCAGAGAGAAAAGCTACATAAAGACGGTTGTTCCAAATAATGAATTGTCATGTGACAAGCCGAATGTGACACAGTGAAGAATTGCGACATCAATTGTTTATATATAAACAACCGCTATTGTAGCAGAGAGAAAAGCTACAGAAAGTTTACATTAACTACACTAACTACTGAGGTGGAATGATCAATAAAAAGGAGAGCTACATGCAAATAGGCAGCCGATTAACAGCTTCTAACAATAACCACTTAGTGTCTACTTTTGGTTTTGGTTTAAGGAGCCAGCAGTGCATTAGAATAATTGAAGCAATTAGATGAAGGACTTTCTTGTGGACTTGACCTGTAGAGCTATTTGAGGTATCATAAGAATTCCCAGAAAAAAACAAAACTCCGTGTTTTGGGGTTGAAAGCGACTGGCGTTTTTCGAGACCAGACCACCTCTCTCTGGTGGCCAGACAACTTGCACCAGTTCCCTCAGAAGAAGTCAAGAGCCAAACTACTGTAGTGAGGAAGATGGCAGTTGTAACGCCACTCTACCGTTTTCAACAGGCAAGCTCCTTGTATCATTAGTCTCTCAGTCGATTCTTTGTTTCACAAGTAAGTTTCTCGAGTTGGTGGCCTGTGTGCTCACTCAGCTACACACAAGACTGCCTTCCTGAATTTTAAATAAATTCCTTTGCGACTCATGAAAAGTCGAACCCAAACAACTGGGCAGGAAATGTAACTGTAGCCAATACATCTTGCGTTTAAACCGTTAATACAATATTCAGACTACATTAATCTTTTCATAATATTCTTCTGTAAAATATAAATATTCACTCATTTGTGCTTGTTTGAAGAATAACGTGTTAGATTTTTCCAATAGGTATTAATCTGTTATAAAAGTGCATTATAATCTTTATAAGTTATATAGCTTGAAATTGAACATTATAAGTAATATAGCTTGAAATTGAACATTATAAGTAATATAGCTTGAAATTGAACATTATAAGTCATATAGCTTGAAATTGAACATTATAAGTCATATAGCTTGAAATTGAACATTATAAGTAATATAGCTTGAACATTATAAGTAATATAGCTTGAACATTATAAGAAATATAGTTTGAACATTATAAGGAATATAGTTTGAACATTATAAGGAATGATGTTTTGCTCATTACTGGGTTTTAGTTCTATTCTTTGTAGGTAGCTTGGTAGGGAGAAGGTACTTATAAATTGGACAGGAAGTGTAACTGTAGCCAATACATCTTGCGTTTAAACCGTTAATACAATATTCAGACTACATTAATCTTTTCACAATATTCTTCTGTAAAAGATAAATATTCACTCATTTGTGCTTGTTTGAAGAATAACGTGTTAGATTTTTCCAATAGGTATTAACGTACTCACAGATTTTCGTAAGATGACATAGACATCTTTCTCCACTTAGAAAACTTTTATTTTACTGGTTTTGTTATTAGTATATATGATATTCTACGCATGTTAGATACACTTGATCTCCGAAGACTAAAAAACTTAGCAGGTTCAAAGTGAACAGTTTTGTTCTAGCAGGTATAACAGGTATAGCTTGTTAAAGGGTAGCCAAAGAGTTGGCGGTAGGTGGTGTTGACTAGCTGCCTTCCTTCTAGACTTTTTTTTTTAATTTGAGTAATGCCGTTGGCAACACTCAAGTATTAAGAGGATTAGAAACGATAAAACACACAGATCAGTAATCTGACAGGATTCTCCAGTTGCCAACTCTTTTAAAAAGCTCACTTAGCTAAGCTCTATACAGTGTTGTCCGGGACGCGCCCCATGGCTACTGATTGGTCTATTATTTACTATGCTGTGTCATCCGATCACTGCAAACACTTTCCGCAACCTACCATCTTGTTTATCAGAGTTCGAAGACGTTTGAAGCCACAAGAATAAAGAAATGTTTCACTGGCTACTTATGGTTCATATTAATTTGGCCACTACATTAACACACGTTCAAGCCTTACTGGTTTTGTTGGTGTTTGAACACGATAAGCAAATGTGTATATGCATACCAATAACAAACGCACAAAACTTGAAGCTTTCGATGAGAATATAATGCTGTTCCCTTTAATAATTTCCTTTGGTGAATCATCGCTGCATATTTGTCTGTAGTAATCAACAGGGAAAAATTATTTCCGGTTACACTACATAATTCTTTTTAATTTTTACCTCATTAAGTACAATATATATATATAAAACACGAAAAGCATAATTTTAATTACGCGAAAAGAAAATAATACTTGCCAAACAACACGAAAGCAAACTTGACTGATTCTTTAATTATAATTCACATTACATTTTCCAAGCAAGAAATGTTTATTCATCTCGACTTTTTCTCCCCTTTGCCAAAGCCTTGTTCGTTTAGCTAAACATATGTATATATACATATGTTCCCAGCATTCTGTAAGGTAATTAGCCCACCGAGAATTGAAATGAAAAATACCAAAAAAAAACACAGGAAATTAATTACTCACAAACGTTTCGGTCTGTTAATATGCAAATTTTTGTTGTATTTAGGTTGTAAGCAAAAGGAACATTTTTAGTTAAAACATAAACTCCTTGATCAGAAAAAACACTGCTCGAAACAAAGGGTAATGGGAGTTTTGTATGTGATGGCTACTACTACTACTGTTATTAAATAATGTCAAAGGTATCATAGAGTTAATTTCCATGCAAAGCAAGTATCAGATGAAGTTATGTGATGTAAAATGCACATATCAGTGGTATGCAAAAATGAAGGACAAATGGTGTGTTTTCAGTTAGCAGTGCCAGCAATAGCAGAGAGATGTAAAGAGATCCAGTTTGATAGTAAAATACAACCAGCGAAGACATTCAGACATTTTCATAATGTGGAGAGCAATAGGTTTGTTAGGAGCCGAACAAACACACCAAGTCTAAAAACGTGTAGTTAGATGGATTTGGACTTGCTTTCTGTCTACCAATACAGTTAACCAGAGACTTGCAAAGGTTAACCCAATATTAACAACCTCGCTTTTGACGATTTGGGCTCGACCAAACCAATGGGTCTCAGCTTCACAATTGAATCAACGGGTCAGAGCAATAACTGAACTGCAAGTCAGCACGCAAACATTAGAACCTAATTTAATAACCCAATGATGTGCGTAGCCACAAGACAACCAATCTTCAGTGACATCTGGAACGTGTGAATTGGTCAAAAGAAAAGTTGGTTTCAGAAGGATCACGCTACGTACTTCAGCCAGATAAATATCATGTGATATACCTTAGCAACATTAGTACGTGCAGTTGGACAGAGCATTTTTCTGAAGTATACTAGCGTAGAACCACAATGTATTCAACTGATAAATTGTCTGGAAGAATAGGGTATTGAAAGCATAGCCTGGTGATATTAATCTATCGAACATGTATCAGACACTCTGGCAGCACGTGATTCAGCTTCAAGTATTGTTGATGAAGAAGAAATAGCTCTGATGAAAGAGTAGGTCACAGTACTCCAGTCATTCTTCGAGTTTCCTATTTTAAGCATATCACATCAATAGTTGTGGCAATTGTACGTCTTATTAACAAACGTTGTCTGATCATTTGTAGGACTGCAAAGTTCGGTAGAACCAAATAACCATCTATGGACATATTAGATATGTTTGTATATTAGATAAAATAACTGTTAACCCGATTCTTGTTTTGCATACATACAAATTAACTTATGGGGTTGCTTAATAATGAGAGCTGCACCCTGTCATAGTTACACAACACTCTAATTATCACTTAAATATTTTTAGCATTATAATTTATTCACAAAGTACGCAAGTGCTCCTGCAGATTCGTCGAAATTTTGAATTATAATAGGTATAATAAGGATGAGGTAAATTTTAAAAAAATAATCTCAGTAACCCTTACTGACACTTACCGTAAGGCAAGTCACTAAACTTTCTTCAAAAACGCTTTGAAATGCTCGGGTATCACTGCACCATTCTAGCAACTCGTGCGCAGCCCCATGGAAACTCGTTGGTGAACCGAGCGCCTGTGAAATAGACAACAAAGGTAATTTTTTTTCAGAAATTATATTTTATTTTGATTATTATAATATAATATCTTTATTACAGTAACATTGGAAATTATGAATTATGTAATTATTTTTGAAAATAATAAAACCAAACCAAAGTTTATCTTTGCACTTGAGACAAATTCACAAATCTACGTGTTAGGAATAATATTACATTTATTTATAGCATATGTTATTGTCTGTTGTTTACAAGCAGTACACAGATTAAGCTTCGTATCATTTAAAACTAACTTTGCTTGAAAATGCATACAAAAAAATTTTGATCAGTTTTAGTTCATTAAGAAATTAATACAACCTGGATCATATTTACTTCACTTACGCAGAGTGTAGACAAACTAGATCATTTTCACATCACTTACCCAAAGTGTGTAGACAAACTGGATTACCTCCACTTCCTTTACACAGGTTAGATTTACTTAAACTACAGTGTTTTACTTTGGTAACAAAGCATATAGAGGCAGATTATTTTATTTATTTACACAAGTTTTTTTTTTATAGATAACTGATTCTTTCTAGATCGTTTATTTAAAAGTTTGGAGACGGCTTGATAGGTAATGAAGAAAGCTATATTATAAATGTACAACGTTTCGACATGATTATGGCATTATGTTGTACCTGATGATGGCATAATCTTGTTGAAACGTTGTACATTTATAATAATGTTATCTTTGTCTTCATTATTCATTCATTCAAGCCATCTCCAAACTTAAATTTTCTAAAAAAGTGAGTTCCTCGTCATCAAATTTAGATTGTTTATTTGAACATCAGCAAGAATAAGCTCAGGAACAGCGAATTGCACGAGTGTTTGCAGTGGAGGGAATAACAGTGCCAACACAAGTGGTTTCACAGTTTAATCTGGAGGAAGTTTAGTGCATCAGTACTGTGCAACATGGTTACAGAAGTCATGCACGAAATCAAATGTTTCTCGTTTAGAAAACAAGCAGCATTAGCTCATATAGTTATCTGCTGAAAGAGGATTGGAGATTTGGTGTTGTTCTGTAATTATGGGCAATCAACTATTCAGCTTTATGTTGAAATGGTTATAAATATGGTAAGTGAAGTGGAAGTAAAAGAGGCTAGAAAATATACAGCTACCAACACATCTGTGATCAATGGTAGAGGATTGTGTAAACAGTCTACAATAAATATAGTTAATCTGGTTGAACAACAGTGCTTCACCACAACGTAGGCATCAGTGATGTACGTCTGATAAAGCAATCACCATGCCAGCTTCTCTGGAGCACAATGGATGTAGCCAGTGCTTAAATACAGCAGATACTGAAGGATGCAGTCAAAGAACCTTTGGCGGGTGCTTTCGGTAATTTTCAGGAAGAAAGAAAGTATTCCAAGATTTTCTGTTGATTTTAGGTGTGTGTACGTGGTACCCGCATTGATACCTTCCCTTTATATTAAATACATGAATGCCTGGAAGTGTTAGAAGGTTTCCATTGGTTCAACACTTTAGATCTGGCATCTGGATACTAATAAGTTCAGCTAGACAACGAGACCAGGCTCAAGACTTCTTTTAGCACAAGACGGTAAGTCCCGATTGGACACTGATATCAGTGATAATGGGATCAAGGAGGTGTTCTTGCAGTTGCAGGATGGAATAGAACATGTAATTGCATATGCTAGTCACACGTTCACATCTGAATAGATATTGTACAATGAAGAAAGAACTGTTTTTAGTTGTAGTCTTCACAAAACATTCATCCTACTTGTATGGTAGGAGGCTCTTTCCCTATCCAGGTGGACCGTTCTTCACTGAAATTGTTAATAAACTAAAAGTTTGGACGGGATAACAACACTTGAAGAAGATGACTCTGAACAAGGACCCTGGACATCATGTGAAAGTTGAAACTATTTCTGTCATAGTTAACATCAAGAAATGTTGTAGAAGATTCCACTACAGGATGGATGCCACGATTAAAACTTCTCTAGCTCTGGGAAGAGTAACTGAAGTTTGGCTTGCACAAAAAGAGGAATATAGCATGGATGCACATAATCTATGGCATTTGTATGATCAGTTGCAAATGCAAGAAGGTGTGATGCACCATCACTATAAACCACTGAACTGTGGTTCTTAGATTGTGCTGCTGCTATTGGTTATCAGAGCTCCTAAGTAAAGATATTATTCAAACTTTGCATAGCATAAAGACTGAAGGGCACCAAGGTATTGCCCACACTTTTGATAACATTTGATAGTGGCCCATCTGGTGTCATTCAAGTTGAGATGTTTGGTGTTTCTGTGGATACTATACAGTGTGTGCCAAGCAAAGAAAGAACTGGCTGAGGTAGAGTACATAAACTCCAACATAAGGTAGGCCATGATATTGCTGGCTGGTTAATACATCAATGCCAAAAAGTGTCGACACTTACCCAATGGTCTATACATTGGCATAGTCCATAGCTAATGTCTTGGTGGTGCACTAGATATCAGGCAAATAATTTCAATAGCCAATTGTTCTCTGAGATGTATTAAGTGTTAGGTATGTTGAAGACACACGCGTTGCCTTATCACCCCACCCCTAGGAAACTGGTCTAGCAGAATGGGTGATACAAACTACCAAGCATAAGTATGGCAAGTTTAATTTATTCATTTCTGTCAAACCGAGCGGGTGAGCACTTGCCATATGTTATGATTGCATACAGAGCAAGTGAACAGGGTCTACAGGTAGTTCATTGAACATTTTCAGGTTCAGGCAGTAAATACCACTCCTTATTTTTGTGATTTATGATCTCTTCCCATGAACAGATATCTCACAATATCCACAGGAATACGTGGAGTGGTTATAATCTGCATTAGTCCATGTGCATGAAATTTCCCACCAACAACTTGGAAAGGCTGCTCAAGACAGAAGGGTTGTTATGACAAGATGGTAGAAGAACAGATGTCGCAGTGTGGAGAATGGGTTTAGCTGTTGTACATGCTAGCAGCACAAAGAAGCTTGGATCTGGCTGGAAAGGTTTGCATACCATACTCCAGCAGATTGGTTTCTTGGTGTATGAGTTAAAGCAAATATGAAGCATGCAAATATACATGAAGCACACCAGTAAGCTACATCCATACATCACAGGTAAACCTCTCGTACACTGGCTAGTTTAGGAGTTTGAAGTTGAAAACAACGAGTTGGAGAAGGATGGTGATGCTATCTAAAATCATACAGACTCATTCAATATGTAAGAGAGAGCTTAACTACTTACTTGACAAGCCACATAAGATGTGATTTGTGTATATACATGTGTGTGTGTGTGTGTTATTATAATCGTTTTAACATTCTGTATCATTTCAACAACATGTTTGTATAATGGCAAAAGTATTTTTTTATATATGTATGTATATATTATTCGTCGGATGTTCTTAGATCTCCTTCTTTTATGACTCTTTCTTATTGGCATTAGATGCATTTCGAACTTATATCTATATAAATATAATAGTACTGTCTGTTGTATGTCCATGTAATTACTTCGCAAGATGTGTATGGATCTTCACCAAAATTGGTATGGAGGTTCATTAGGTCCATGCAAAGGTACATACAAATTTTCAATTTTGCATTTTGCGTTTTGCGGTTTTTATGGGAATTGTTTACCACTATTTCGCCCCCTGTAGATGGATCTGCACCAAATTTGGTTTAGATGTTCATTTAGTCCATGGGGAGGTAAATACAAATTTTTAGCTTTGCGGTTTTTATGGGCTATTTTTATCACTACCTCACCTCTTGTGGATGGACCTTCACCAAATTTAGTATGGAGGTTCACTGGGTCTATGGGGAGATACAGGCATATTTTCGGTTTCACGTTTTGTGTTTTGCAATTTTTATGGGCGTTTTTGTGATTTTTACAATTACATATAAGGGAAGCAACTTTTCATGTCCTAACATAACCTTTTATTAATCATTAATTTACACAACTTCCGCCCAGGGGACGGGTACTCCAGCTAGTATATATATAGATATATACATATTGCATTTGAATTTCGGTGTATTTACTCTTTATTTTAAAGGGTTGATTTTGTTGCTTTGTATATAAATCTAAGTATGTTTTCAATTCTATTTTGTTTTAATTGCAAAGTAACGGACATATTTCATATTTGATTTACTATGTAATTGTTCTTAGAGGGTTTGTTTCATTCTTTGTTCTGGAAAGTTTGATTTTTGCACTGTGACTATAATGTCTTTGTTGAAGGACATTCTTGTAATGTGGAATTGAAATCATATCATTGTTAGAAGGCCTAATTTGTATTTAATATTATTGTTAAAATTCTCAGTGTATACTTGTAATTTGTATTAAGTATTTCTGCTTAAATGGGTTTTCTATATAATTATATTATTTAATTGTTTAAAAGTTTTCTATTTGCATTATTGTTAGCATTTCACTTTACATTGTGTTATATATTATAACATTCTAGAGGGTTATTCTTATTATTCATTGATTATATCATTATGTACTTATGTTACCATTTTTAAAGAATTTTTGATGTAAATTGTAGTTCTTTGTTTAAAAGTTGTGTGTAAACTTGCAGAAGTAGAAGGAAAAGTGATGTATAAAGTAATGATATGCACTTTCTACTTCTTCATTATATTGTAGAATTTTTCAACATTTTTCGTTTATTCCAAGTATATGCAGTTTTTGCATAACATGTGGTCCAATAACCATTAAGTGACTTCGTTCTAGCTGCTTTTGTTCCATTGTTGTTCTATAGAAATAATACCTGCTCCACCCGCTAGGAGGTATTGCTGTAACACTGTAAGTTGTGCAAGAATGTAGACAACGGCAGTGTCCTTCACTGGTAAGGCAGATGATATCTAGAGGTAAATGCCTCCCCTATATTAAATGAGAATGACCTGTCACGTGGATAATACTAGTCGCTTTGGGTAAATTCAATGTTTACCATTAAGTATGAAACTTTAGATTTTAATAGAACTACACAGTATTTGAAGTGGGTTGGTCGACAGGAA